AAGAGTATATTTTAAATGCTGAAATCTGTGATCGTCTTCATCTTCATCAGGCTGGTATTAAGACGGAATAAAGTGGAGAGGAAAGCGCCCAAACCAGCATCGTTGCACATGTCAAATTCGTCCTGCCTAGCGACCATGTTATTGCCTGAGCATCTACAGATGACCCCTATTGCTAAAGAACCGAATGATCTAACATAAGTCAATAACGCCTCTCTGCGTTGGGTTTCTTCACGAGCATCCATCACACGGTGTCTATACTGCGTGGCTGCACATCAACACCAATCCCTTGCCTCCTCTACTATCGTACACCTTCGTCACGAACGCGCATACAAATTGCAATTGTACTTCTACCCCAAACATGTGGTTTTACCATCCTCTATCCTTTCAATCGGTGTCAGGACAGGTCCTAGAGTGGAGTTAGTCACAGGGATTTGATACTTTCAATAAAGGTTCCGGTCACCCTGATTGGCATACAGTGCTGGAGGCAAGGAAGTCGAATTTGCCCACAAGCGCTTGAAGTGTGAACGCATGTGAAATTTTGTTTAAAGGTCATAAATGACTGGTGGTTGAATTTTCACACAACGATATGAGTAGAGCTGACGTTTTCATTCAATTTCGCATAGTCCTGCTTATCCCAAAGTCGTTCTCATCCAGGCTGAGATGGACTGCAGCTTCGACCTCACCTCGGTCTTATCAACACGCCCAGCGAGACTTTAACCATGGACTGAGTAATGTGGCCGATTGATGCTTCGTCTGTAAGTGAGCTTCTTCGACAGTCCGACTAGAGAAAGTGTCCAATTCACTGAAAACGTTATGTCTACTAATTAGATTGTGGAAACATTCAGCCACCAGTCCTTCATCACCTTAAACGAAATATGATGAACACAGATCAACTATACGATTTCTGGTAGTCGCGAACACCTACTCAAAACGAAACCCAAAAGGAGGTCTCCTCTAGGCCGGAGTGGACTGCAGTTTCGTTCCCACCTTGACTCGTCTCATCTGCACGTACAACGGGAATCGGACTCGGAAGGCGCAGCGTATAATCTCATCATGTCGACTTGTGTCGGGAGGAGGCTTTTGTCGAATAGCTTTTTGGAGGAAGAATATGTGAAATAGGAATTCGACCTCAAAATGTCAAGGCGATCTAGTTGGACGTGGGCTGTAGGAAGTCCTATAATATGTTGGCTGTGAAAGTTCCCCGGGGCCGACGATAATTAATTCCTTGATGAGTTGTTGCTTTGTGTAAAAAAATGGCAAGACTCACAAACGATGTCGATGAAACGTTTGTGAATGCTAAAGTCCAGGGCCCGATGCTGGAAGGCGTCAGAAGTCTTCGAACATTGCATGTCCAATTAGGTCGCCTTGGCAACACGATCAAGTAGCGAAAACTACGTCAAACCACTCTTTCGCATAGCCATGCTCCAGAAAGTTATTCCTTCCGGTCTAATTAGATATGGTGACAGTATACACTGCACCGTGCGGGTTCGATTCACGTTGGGGGTGCAACCGAGACCAGTTCAGGTTGCAACGAAACTGTAGTCCACTCCAGCTTGGATGAGATCAGCACTTTGGAAGCAAGTCCGAGGAAAATTGAAAA